TGTGTGTGTGTGTGTGTGTGTGTGTGTGTGTGTGTGTGTGTGTGTGTTGGCGATGGGGGACATGCCTGCAGGAAAGACATCATTCTGCTTTCTTACCTGGAAGAACACAGCTTTGCATTAACCATGCCAACACCTGCTCATAAGGCTCCTTTCTCCTACCCAACAGTAGAGAAAAGTGCTAAGCAAGAAATGATTTACTTTAAATACTGCTAAGGTTGAGAATCTAAGGACTGGTTCAAGTTGCACATCCAGCAAGGAAGCAGGCTTGGGGCAAGTACAAGCATCTGAGGAAAACACAGGAAGGCTTTTTGACAACCCCGTTGGGGATTTTTTCAAAAAGACTTGCAAGATGCCAAGTTAATCTTGAGGCTTCTTGCCTCACTTCCTTTTATGTCCTTCCCTGAGCAGTTCTTGTATAAACTTGTCCTTGGGATGTCTTTCCGCCTCCTGTAAACTCCTACCTCTGAGTAGCCTTGGCACTTCTGTCTTACCCCAAGGCCCTTGAATTACTTGCCTATTTCCATATCTCCATGCTTTAAAAAAAAACCTCCCTTCAAGTAGGAATGCAAGATACACCACATTCTCCTTTCTGAGTCAGATGGAGATGGTGGTCACTTCCAGGCCAACGAGACTTTCACTCAGGCTATATCCCCTTTGTCCCAGAAGAACTTATTCCCCTCTGGAAATGAGAATAAACTACTTTGACAATTAATTACCTAGAGAAGGCCAAGTGAGAGACTCAATCTTTTGAAGAACCAGTTCCTGGATCATTTTGATTTGGAGCAAAACCCTGAACTGAATCCAGAGCGAGGAAAGCCAGTATGTCGTGCTGCAGTTGCACTTCTCCAAGTGCTGCTAGCTACCAATATGTCATAGTCTGCTCAGGTTGCTATCACAAAATGCCACAGACTAGATGGCTTACACAACACATACTTGTTTCTCATTTCTTGCAATGGATACTTTGAGAATTTTCCCAGTCTTCAAGTTCTGGTTCTGGAATTGCTTAATAATTCCTTCTTTAATTTGTCTCTCTCTCCTCATACTTTACTATCAGTAGCCAGGAGTAACCAAGCCACTTTTTCAACACTTTGCTTAGAAATCTCTTCAGCTAAATATCTAATCTCATTGCTTATGTGTTCTACCTTCCACAAAACACTAGCACATAAAAACAAGTAATGGAAGTTTTTTGCCACATTATAACAAGAATCACTTTCCTCTAGTTTCCAACAACATGTTCCTCACTTCTACCTGAGATCTCACCAGAATGACCTTTAATGTCCACACTTCTATCAACAGTTTATGATTATTTGTGTATCCTCTAAGAAAACGGAAGCTTTCTCTCCCAGGTTTCCTATTTTCTTTCTGAGCCCTTATCAGAATCGCCTTTAATGTGCACCTCAAAACTCTTCCAGTGTCTACCTATTGCCCAATTCCAAAGCTGCTTCCTCATGTTTAAATGTCTGTTGCAGGGGAATCCTCTCCTTTCCCCTCCAAACACCATCTCTTCTTCCAAGCAAAGTCTCATCAGACAGGTTGGGATTTCACTCTTCTTTGTTCCGCTTTTCACAGCTCCAAAATAACAAAAGTTGCTCATTTACCACATGCAATCACACTTGTCCTTTCCTATTCAACCTAAATACTTTTCTGTGTTTAACTCTTTAGCTTGAAACTTTGCCTATATTGTTTTCAGCTTTCATCTTCCTTTCTCTCTATGAATTCTTTTTTCTTATACTTGAAAAATTAACAATAATGCTTTAATATCCAGTTCGTGTTTGAATTTCCTTATAAATATCCTTTACAGTTGGTTCGAGTCAGTGTCTAAACGAAGTCCACACACTTATATACCATACAGATAGAAAAGATTATAAAAATAAAATGCACTTAGAGTTAGCCTTTTTATCATTTTTATTGATATGTAATCAATGTACATATTTTTAAGGTACATGTGATAGTTTAATACATACAATATGTAATGATCAAATCAAGGTATTTAGAATACTATTACCTCAAACATTTATCATTTTTTTGTGTTGGTAACATTTAAAATCCTCTCTTCTAGATATTTGGTAGTATACAATAAATTAT